TTTCATAATAAAATATAGTAAAATATAGTAAAATATAATAAAAATATTATTTTATTATATTTTATTATAAAATTTATCAAAATTAAGACTTTTTTTAACTGGTATTTATTCAATAAATATTAATTAAAATTTTTTTTTAAATTATAAATATATTTTTAAATATATTTCTATAAATTTATTTTCATACTTACTTATAAAAAATATTTTTAAATAATTTTTTATAGCATTTTATCATTTTTAGCACGTGATTCCACAAAATATTACTATATTAATATATTTTATGATCTTAAAAAATTTTATTTTTATTATCTTAAAGAATGTAATATAAAATTTTTAACAATTTCTTATTATGTTATAGATAAAAAATATGTTTGCTATTACTTTTTATACTAATTATATATTAAATTTTAAATTTATTTCTTAATTAAAAAGTTTAATTTATAAAATATAAATATTTAAATAATTATATTATAATAAATAATTAAAATATATAAAAATATATAAAATATAAAAAAATTTTAATTATATTAAAATAATATTAAATAATATATATTAATATAATTATATATTAAAAATTTTATTATATTTTAATATAATTTTAATAATTAATTTTATTTTAATTAAAAATATTAAATTATTAATAAATATTTAACTTAAAAAATATAAAAAATTAATATAAAAATTTATAATAAAATTAATTATTAAAATTATTATAAAAATTCTAATAAATTATTTTAATTAAAATTATTATAATATTTATAATTAAATAATAATTTTTTTAAAATAATAAATTAATAAAATTTATTTCATAATTTTATTTATATAACTAATTATTATTAATATAATTCTAATATAATTTATTTATTAGCTTTTTATATTAAAATTTTTTATTTAAACTTTTTTAAATAATTAAAAATATTATATTAAAATTTAAATATTTTTATATTATTAACAAAAATTTATATAATTTAATAAGTTAATTATTAAAATTTAATTATATTATTATAATAAAATTTAATTTCTTAATAATTATCTTATCAAATTTTTTATTATTATTATAAAAATTTTAATATATTTAATTTTTTAAAAATTTTAATTTAAAAAATTATTTAAATTTTATTATAATAATTATAAATTTATAAAAAAAATTTAGATTTATATTTTACTATTATATTAAAAATTTCAGAATAATTAATCTAAAATTACAGATTGATTGAAATACTTTAACTTTTATTATAATTAATTTTTATTAAAATATTAATCTGATAAGAAATAAATATACATAAAATGATCAATTAATGAATATTTATCTAAAAAATATCTGAAGTTTTGTTTTAAATAAAACTAAATAAGTAAATAATAAAGTAAAATATAATTTATTAAAAATTAAATAAAACTTTTTCTGATCAATTATTATTTTCTCTTTCAGATTAAAGAGATAAACTTGAACAAGTAAATAATATATATCGTGACAAAAAACTATTTAAAACAAAATTAATTATTTAGCTAACCGGAACTGAAATTATTCTAATGCTAAAAAATGACGAATCGAATGCTTTTTAGACAAAAACTAAATTAATTTTCTTGAACCTTAAAATATTAATCAAATTAATAAAAAAAATATTAAATTGACCAAATAAGATTTTAATCACTCTAGATTCCTTTGTGTCAGAGAAAGAAAATATAATTAATTTTCTCTCTAATAGCTAATAAATACCAAAAATATCGATAGTTGCATACAATAAAGTTATATTTGTAATTAATTATATGGCTTTCTTATTGCTAACTCTGACCCTCCGTGCTAACTTCTCCACTGTTTCTGGTTTTGATCAACTTTTCTCTCTGTAAAATTAAATTCTCTTAATTCCTAAAGCTGAAAGACAAGGGGTTTTTGCAATTTAATGAAAATTAACCTGGTTAAAAACGAATTCAGTTAATTTATTTAACGGATTCTGTGACTTTATTGACTTTCAATGCGTTTGATTACGATCAATATTAAAGTCGTTCCTAAGAAAAATAATATAATATTGATTGTTTCATTGCAAACATTCTTAACAACAATAAGGCAGAAGAGTTTTTTTTTAGCTCGCATAAATATTTGGGAATTGAAGATTAACGTTAATATCGATATAATAAGTTTCATTTAATAGTTTGGTATTTCACAAGATCAAAGGATCGATGGGTGGGGGGTGGATCATCAAGGAGAGGATTATCATTTGACGGATCCTATTTTGGTTATACATGTATGTACCCAGACCCAGAAAACGATAGCGATAGACAGGCATACACACAAAAGAATTCTGTGATCACTTTTGTACTATGACACGGAAAAAATTTACTTTATATTTAGTACCAAAAAAAAAACGTTTCTAAAAATAAAATCTTTGTGTGTGTGAAATAGACTAATAATAAACTTTTATTAGATCTATAAATAGCGACACACATCATAAAATAAGAATAATAATAATAATAATAATAATAATACTCTTCATGTTATTCATATTGATATAGTTTAAAAAACTATATACTGAACACAAAATAAACAGTATTGTCATCATCATCATCACCATCATCATCAGTAACAACGTCGTTTATCGTTTTCATTTTTTTTCTAACATTATACACTATATACTTTTCGGTTCTTCCTCCTCCCCTGTGTTTTCAAATATTTTTTAAAAATGGGTCGTAAGAAGATTCAGATTAAGCCCATAAAGGACGAAAGGAATCGACAAGTAATGAACTATAGTTAACTTTATTGGTTTTTTTGGTGGAGGTGGGAAAAACGTGGGAATCGTGAATTATGAATTTTGAACCTTGATTCATTCATACTGTTTTCCCTGTTATATAAATCTTTTCCCCTCACTCTCATTAATATATCCCTGCAATTTTTTCCTCTTCCACACCTCATTCACCAGGTAACATTCCTAAAAAGAAAATACGGACTCATGAAAAAAGCGTATGAGCTCAGTGTACTATGTGACTGCGAAATAGCGTTAATAATATTCAACTCAAATAATAAGCTAGTGCAGTATGCGAGTACCGACATCGACAAGATTCTGTTGAAGTATACAGAGGTATGTTCCTTTTTATCTTTATCGAACATAGACAATAATCATTTTTTAAAAATTGACGATTCAATTCAATTACTATTAATTAATAGTATAGCGAGCCACACGAGAGTAAAGGAAATCACGATGTATGTATAAATAATAAAAATATAGTGTATAAGAAAATGTCACTATACGATATTCATATCGACATCGACATGAAGAATGGCTTAAACTCACCTATCCTCTCGTTCTTAAAAAAAATTATTAGTTTGCGAATACAACAGATAATGGCGACGATGATGAAATGCCTCCGCCAGGATTCGATACCATTAGCCCAACTACGGATCAAAAAACGGTAATTATTTTGGGATTTTACTTTTTCGTATGCAAAAATTAAACATAAACCATTATTCTTATCGATATTTTGATCTTTACTTATAATGTTCATATGATTAAAATCGAAAAAATAAATAATCAGCATCGATACTCTATTTCGTCACAATTATCACCAACCCCGCCACAAACAAACACCAATTCCACACAAAACTACCACACGCCATTATCAACCGCGTCATATCCGATGAATAATGCTACTAGTTATAGTATGTACCCACAACAACAACAATATATGGTGCAACAGGTAAATGAATTCAATCATATTTATGTGTCTTTGATATACATATAATCGGAACTAGGAAAAAAATGATAGCATAAACTCAATAGAATAGAAACAAATAAGTTATATTATCTATTGCATAATCCCCAACGCCTCTTTAGATATTACATAGCTTAGTTTTTTTCCCCCGACCAACCTTCGTTTAATATTTTGTGTATTACTATTTACCAATAGCCCCACCAATTTTATCCACAGGTAACCCAGACGCAAGTCACTCAAACGATGCACCATCAGTCAATGGCAGCAATGTCGATGCCAATGTCGGTTAATATGCAAATGTCGTCGATGCAAATGATGCCTCAAGTTCATCAACAACAACAACAACAATCACAACAACCACCACAGCCTCCACCACCAAATTCTGCGCCTAGTCTTCCTCAGTTATCCATGGCGAATTCAATTGTCCCACCTAATTTATCAATAACTCAGCCGATGGCGCAGATTGAAGCCAATCCAGCCAATCAATCATCGTCAGCGTCATCGAATGCAAATAATAACAATAACGGTAATGGTGATTTATTATCACCTCCAATTGTATCACCAACCGCAAAAAAACCAAAACTTCGAGTGACGATTCCTACGGAAGCGTCAAAAGAAACTGCTGCTGCTCAACAAGCAAATCATCATCAGCAATCAAATCAACAATCATCTAATCAGCAGCAACAACAATCATCACATCAACCACCACATTCACAGTCCTTACAATCGACTGCTCAACAACAAGATGAATCTTCGGATCATGAAGAAGAAAGTCCCTCAGAATCTCAACAACCAATTCAATCATCTCAACCGGTAAATTAGGTTTTTTTTAATCATCATCAAATTATAATGAATGAATTAATTCATTCATTATATAATTTGATAATTCGTTGAATTAATTTAACAATTAAATAATTAAAATTAATACCAATTCTTAATGTAATAATAGCCGAATTCATTAAGACCAACACCTTCGACAACAGACCCAGGACCAACATCGGCATTACCACAATTTGCACAAAATTTACCATCCCCATCAACATTCTTCTCTGAATTTTATAAAACAGCAGAACTACCAAGTCCACTCTATAATAATACACCGACTAGTGCACAATCTAATGTATTTCACTGGCCACCACAACAACGGAATGTTAGCGGGTATCAACCATCCCCGTTATCGAAACACGATAATAATTCCGGGAATGCAGCCAAAACGAGACCTCCACCCACTGATGATGACGACGACGGGAACGGCAATATCGAAGAACCAAATAAGAAAAAACATAAACAGTCATAAATAATTCTCGTCTCCTTTTTCTTTAATTCTCAAGCTTTTAGTATCTATATTTTTTCTTTTTCTTTTAATTATATGAACAAGTAAATAAATAATCATTCGTGGTAATTATTATATAGTGAATAAAAGATTGTTTGAATTGTGTATCTTTTCCTTTTCCTTTGTTTAGTTTAGCTTAGTTTATTTTACTTTTTATTTTTTATCTTTTAAAATTGGACTTTTTATTTATTCATTTCTTCATCAAATCATCATTTTCAAAGAGACATTTATTACTATTATATTATCGTTACTATTACTCGATTTAAAAATTTTTTTTAACTTCTTTACTAGTCATTACTTTATTATAGGAATTGGGAAAAACGTGGGAATCGTGAATTATGAATTTTGAACCTTGATTCATTCATACTGT